ATTTTTCCCACTACATTGACTCCAAAGTCTTTGAAGATCTGGAAAGATTCACCAAAAACCAAACTAGTTTTTTAGTGACCAAATAAACAGCAATGTTCAGATCAATTACTTATTCATGTTTTAAATAAAGGTGAATGTATTATTGTATTAATATCACTCTATAACCACAATACGTTACATAGTCTATCTGTTAATTTTGGCTGTCTTTTCAAACTAATATGGTCCCGACGTCCTCTACAGTGGACATACTGTAACATTTAAAAATAAAATAAGTCTAAATTGCAAGATGTTTTTTTAACCCTAAATAGGTAGGAAATCACAAAAAAAAGGAAATTGGGAGACACTTTTTTTCCTCGGGTCCCAGGAGGATAGCTTGTCTTGTAAAAAATCCAATAACATTTCCATTGTTTTAAAGTTAATTAACTTTGACATTGTTTTAATGTCAGCTAGGGCTACTTTTGTATCAACCGATCACAAGTAACTCACATATCATTGCTGTCACCAACAAAGAAACTTTGCTAGCAATCAGAAGGATAAATGAACAAGTTGATCAAATACCACATGAAAATTATAATCAACTAAGTTGTCAGTTAAAAAATGTTTCTTGAGTGAGGAGTAAGAGCTGCTCTGGCACAGGGAGAAGATGTCCAAATCCCACCTACGAAGCTCTGATTGGCTCGGTTGTTTCTTCAAATGGGGTTAAAAGCCTATAATAAGCACAACAGCATATTTATTTGATTTGCTGAGAAGATTGGAGATCCGGGTGGTTAATCAGAGGTCTTAACCCAGGCTATATACACCAGCACACAGTCATACACTAGACACTTAGCACTTCAAAACATGCAGAAACAATTATTCACGGTAACAATTGATGTTTTTCTGTCTGTCCGCCTGAATGCATGAATTGAGTTGGGATCAGGAGTCGGGGCTGGGGCTGTGGAAATACCTCTCTTCTCAACCACTTTTTCCACTGCAGGAATGTTATGTGTAGAGTGCCCCTCCCCTGGGTCTGTCAGGAACAGTGTGTGCCTGTAGCCGGTAATTGATAATGCGGCCCAGGCAGCCCTAGCCCTGGTCAGTGGAGCGTGAACCAGCCTGAGAGGCAAAGAGGCTGAAGTGCACCGAGGTGAAGCTTAGCCCTCACACTCTCTGTCGAGGGTAAGAGAGAGAGGGAGAGAGGAAATGAGGGAGGGAGGGAGGGAGGGAAAGCAGGACGTGAGAGCCAAGGGAGGCACACGTAACAGAATCCATTCACACTGACAGGATAAACAGTGCCCATTCATTATTTAGTTACATTTGAGTTAACTCTCTGACACTCAAATCAAGAAATACGTAATCTGATTAAAACCTTAGAACACTACAAAACAGCAGCAGGCGACTATGTGGAATAAAAGAGGTCAGGGGCTTTATTCCTTACAGAACTCCGTAACCCATGAGTATTTATGCATGTGAAGTAAAAAGAGAAAGAAATTACCAAAACGAGTCTGATGAAAAGGGTCATTTAGTTGAGAGAGGGTGCTATTTAATGCCTTTTGAGTAGAGGAGTTATTCAGACAAATGGAGAGTGGAGACCAGGTGGAGCGATGACTAGGCCTCAGCAGCGAGCAGGCCGAGAGCCAAGAGGCTGATAGGCACAACATGTTGAGCATGGACTTGTGTGGGGCTGTATTTATGCCTGCAGACATGGGTGGAGACTCGTTACTGCATTCTATACAAACAGCAAAGCTTTGAACTCATTATGAGCAGACGGCGCAGAATCGGTTTTTAATCAGACGTACTTGTATGTTTACAAATTGGTTTGATGAGCACGTTTGGTTGGATTCATCTTTGGACTTTGAAACTGAATTATGCTTTATTTTAGCACCTTGGAGTAGTTTGTGATCATACAGTAAATTCTGGAGCATCTTTACATGGCAGTAAAGAGATTGATTTGTACATATGAGCTAAGCAATTTGTAATTTGCGACACTATTATAAACTTGATACATTTCTCTATCATGTCTTTTTTTGATTTATTTATTAATACTGATTCTACTAAAAGCCTCTGAAAACAGCAAGCAGAAACTCACATCTAGATTAAGAAGAACGTCTTGGTTTAACACTCAAAAACTCAGCAACTGTAATCTCCTTTAGACTGTGTTTAGTGATTGGATCAGTTTGTATTGATACAGCACTGGTGGCTACCAAAGCAAACAGCTGTGCAAACGGCATCTCATTGTGATCCAAATGTTGCTTTGCCCTGATTGGTGCAGTACGGTATAAGGAGTCACATTTTCCAACAGAGCCCTGAATACTTAAACCCAATAGGAAGAGCAAAGATAAAAACAATCTCTGAAGTGCAATAACCAAAACACAGGAAATTGTGCTTTTTTCAAGATTCTCCAGCGGCAAGAGTGGTTTGTTTGGAATAAACTGTAGAAAAAACATGGCACCTACAGTAGCTAACCAGGGTAGACAAAATACCTCCAAAACCTTTAACTTGATGTGCAGGTAACCAAAATATCTCTTGGAAGTGTATATTGATTTAACTTTGCAGATTTTTAGAAACTTGCTCACCTACTGTCCAAGTCAGCACTGTTTGAGATATTTTGGAACTAGTCAGTTTGCCCAAGATTAGACATTTTAACATTACAAATTGATGCAAACAAATTCGATATCAGCTGCAAGGAAGAAAAAAGTACAGATATTAAACTATGCAACGGTCAGCCTCAGTGACAAGATATTAAAAAATGTGTACATTGCAAGGCATTGTGTCAAAAAGACAAAGGGGGGTGGACGATGCAATGACATGTGACTCCTGTTCTGATGGCAAATTAGGATTGATTTCAATTCAGGTTAATTTATTTTATTTTATACTTGTAAAGTCCATTAAAAAATAAAGGAAAAAAAAGGGTGTTGTACTTAAAACTAAGACCTTTATAATGCCTGTAGTAAAAAAAAAGGCAGTTGTACTGACATTTTAAGATTTGAAGCGACACACAGAAACAGCAGTATCCTGTTATTATGGATTATTTCTTCCTAATGTCCAGTAACACAATCTTTGAGCAGCATGTAAGGAGCGATGAAGGGATGATGGAGGAATGGCAATGCATGGGACAGACCACGTTGCAATGAGCAGGAAATTGCCATGTCCCTGGGTAACAGCCCATGTGGGGGCATTCAGGTGAACTAGGGGTGAAGGATATAGGAGTCTGTGCAGCTGGGCCAAAGCGATCACAATGCTAGAACAATTTGATTCCAAATGGCTGAATAACATGTGGTGCATAAACAGATGTTTGTTACATAGGGAATGTATCTCTGTCAGTTTATTTGTATAGTATATACTATACATGTAGGGTTCTTGTTTTGTTGATAATCAAGTCTGCTTTTTATTTGAATGGATGCAAACCTATTTATTTTACTGCCACTGTGTAGTCATTTTATGGCTTACCATGACATGAGTTGCAATTAAATCTGTAATTTCTACTTAGTGTTGGACTCTATATCTTTAAAAAGACAGTTTTGTATAATTGTTGTTAGGTTACATCTAGATGGGCAAATAAAATAAATATTCTCTGTTCGTGTTAGGTTTTAACATTTCATTTTAACATTCATTCAAGGGGTAATTTCTAACTGAATGACATTGAACATGCTATGATTAATACATGTATCTTTTAATATATATTATAATGTAATGTTAGATTCATGCCTACAAGGTTATTTTACTTACACAATCATGGTAATAAAAAAGCCTAGTGAAGCTTTTATTAGTAACTGCATGAATTATTTTAAAAATACAATTACAGTACATTGGTCAATTGCTTATATGCAGACATTGAAATAACAAAAACAAGTGGCTTATTTGCATAATCAGATTAAGCAGATGTATACTGATTAAAATGTTAAATCTATATTTTAAAAAGCTTAGGAACCTAATAACTGCACCGTCTAGATGCAACACAGAGTGCTCTTATATTCTGCCCAAGTAGCCAAAATAACTCAGCCCAACAGCAGACTAAATCCACCACAATTGGTTGCTGGACTCACGCCAGGCTTGTGGCCGGAGTCCTGCTAACTGCGGCTGACAATCAGTCCATGTCCACACCCTCACCTCTTTGCCAAAAATTGCAGCCTTGTTTTGGCCAGAGCCGGCATATTTTTGGTCCTGCAGTGCCAGAATATGGCTGAATGAAGCTCTAATCAGCCTGACTCAGCTGGCTACCTGGGTGCTGATGAGAGTGAAAGTTGTTTAAACTTGAATTCTGTGCTGAGTACTGATGGCTGTTAATGATTACTTCAAGGTACACACATGGGATGATATGTATTAAAGTTGTCCACTATTTATAAAATGTGGAGATCATGTTCTTACTATAATTAGATGTTATAAAAGTGATGTGAGGTACTGTTTGTCCTAGAGCTAGCTTTGTATACCAATTTATGATTCTAAAGTAAATAATTAAAATGGCTGAAAAAGGCTAGCAATTCTAGAGTTTAATATATTAGATTAAAATGGAAAGATGAGCAGCATGCAAACCATAACTCTCCCCTTGTGGCTAAGGGAATATGTCTATAACTGTTTTGTTTACAAAGTATTTAGGTTGAGAGATATCTGTAATAATCAATATTATTAAAGAAATATATTCCAGGTTTTTATACCGGCTAACAGGGGCGCTGCACCCTCTTACTTTTGGCGTGCGCCCTCATACCAAAATGGTGATTTTCCCCGTAAAACTTTAAAGCGATGCCAGAAAACAATATTTCTGTTCGTCAAAAATGCTACAATTACTGCAAAGATATGAAAATCGTGTGAAATAGACTGTCAGATGGCATAGATACTGTAGCTTTGTTTTTACAAAGCTCGAAACGTTGCGTTGTTGTTACTGTCCGCGGTGCCATCTGGTGTCAGTTCTCGTCATTTATATATCTTATATACAAGATCAGCACCACAGTATTACCCTTATACTATATTTTCCTAGAAAAACCCCTGTATTCATTTTGTATTACTCTTTCTGTGTCCTACAGCTCCCTCAATAGTCCCCATCATGCACCAGATCAGCTCCACCATGAATAGCTTCACACTGTCATGGCCACAACCAGAGCAGCCCAATGGCATCATCCTGGACTATGAGCTGCGGTATTACGAAAAGGTAAGATGTGTGTGTGTGTGTGTGTGTGTGTGTGTGTGTGTGTGTGTGTGTGTGTGTGTGTGTGTGTGTGTGTGTGTGTGTGTGTGGCTCTACATATTTGAATGTACATGGTATGTCAGCTCTTTCTGCTTTTGTCTCCTCTTCTCTACACAAACTTCATGTAAAGTCCCCCAAAGATGTAAGCTCTACCAGATGTCTGTAAGCAGAGTCCCCTGGGTTGATAATATGTTCTTTCACTGTGTTCACTCCATCTCTCCCACTGTTCTTTGGTTTCTGCTGCTGATGAAGTGAATAGGTTGACCTCTGCTCCGGCCCACTCTGCACAGTGCAGCAACCTGTCCTGCTGTGAAAATGCTTTGCGTCTGAGGGGAGTCACATCGACCCGTCTGCTCACACACAATATGTCTGCTTTATTAAGTCGCCAGCCCTACCCCATAGCGCCTATGCTGCTCTAGTATTGACCTGTAGGCTTTTCCCAAGGCCTTGGACATAATGATACCAAGAGATCAGAGACTCTATCTTTTTGTTTGGGCTCTTGTTTGTCCTCCTAAAGCTGATCGATAGTTATAGCAAGGTTGATCGTGCATGCTTTGTCATCTTGAGCTAATACTTTATCCGAGGCTCGGTGCACCTTCACCCATGTTCGGCTCTACATTTGAAAGACAAAAATCAATAGAGTTTTACAAATGTTTTTCTTTTTATGTTAAGTTATTTATTTCACACATACTCGCTTTGGCTAAGCTTTGTGGATCAATATTCACAGCTGCATCTTAGAAGAGTGTTGGTCACATTTAACATTTTCTATCAGAGAGAACAACAATCATGTTTTTCAATTATGTTTGCAGTAGGAAACTCTGTGATCCAATATTAGCTGCAATGCTTGCTGTTTCCCCCTCTGGCATTGCACAGGTCATGAAATTGAATCTGATTGCCATAGCCCTGAGAAACCTTATCTGTCAGCTTAGTGTTGTGTAAATAACACTTATACAGACTCCCATTAACTCGTGAATATCAATGAAACCTAATCCTATTGATGTTTATGTAGCATGTCTTCACACAAATAGATGAGCAAGGCGTAATCACAAATTAGTGAATTAACGAGGACAAGGTGGCTAATTGCACTGGGATGATTCAGGTGACGGAGTTATTGCACTCTTCGCTGTCTTTTTGTTCCTTCATATTCCCCCTGTACTAACATGTACAACCATGCGAATGTGAGTAACACACAGTAGGTGAGTCAGAGTGATTGCTTTGCAGCTCACTAGGCTGTGGAGATGAGATTGCCACATTGGTGGTCCTCCCTTGACACTCTGTATTTTGGATCTGACGAGGCTTTTTATAGGCTCCAAACAGACTTTTCCTCACCCAGCCACTGCTGTCCAAAGTGACACTGCTGATGTGTTTTTGTGCCTGATTGAGCACCAACCCTTAGAAGAAGAAAAAAAGCAGATGGTGGCAAATCAAATGCCATGTGTGTAATTTCCATAGCAGTTAAGATGTATTATACAAATGCATGATGAATTCTCTGCATAAATCTTCAGTGTCACACCAGTTGGCTTGGGTTATTTACATGCATGTTTGGCCTGCTTGTTGAATATGGAGAAGCAGGGAATTCAATTGCATTCCACCGAGGTCAGTCCTGCCAACTCTCCATTGATTCTCTGAATGCTTGAGAGGTCCTGACAATCTGGAAGTTTCACGCAGCCGTAAAGTGATGATGTGGCCTTCTGGTCATAAAAGGCAATAGTGGAGGAATGTCTATCATGTCTTACACACATCCCCAGTGCCATGGGTCATTTATAGGCTGGATAATGCAGTCATAAAAATAATCGTTTTTATATAAAAACGGCCCTGCTATACCTTCTCTTTTATGCATTTCACCGATGCATGCATTAATCTGAGAGTAGTTGCACTGTTCATGGTTCAGGAGTTGATTGTCTCAGCGTGCCTGGCACAGTCAGCCAGTCCTTAGCACAGCAGAGAGCCGTCTTTCTGTAGACTTCATCTCAAAGGAAGCCCTCTATGCCCATTTACAAGAGTGACTTCTTCAGCAGCACGGCATTGTGACTACCTCAGGGTAATTCTAAAAGAACATTCAGCTTATTTTTCTTTTTACAACCTTTTCTTAATGTCGGAAATGTATCCATCAAGATAATAACATATTTCTCTCAACAGACTTTTTTAGACGCAAGAACCAATTTGAACATACTTAATTTTAAGTAGTTTCAGTAAGTAAGTAAGTAGGTAATTTGTAAGTATTAAATAAGTAATAAAATGTGGAGTTGTCATGAGAAAAAAAGTCCATAGATGGTTTTGAAATGTGAACTGTGCCTACATGGTTGTGTTACCTTGACTGCTTGGCACCCAGACAATAGAGACATACGTTTTACGAGATTGTACCCTAGGCAGCCGTTCATCGAAATACTTTTTCAACTGCTACAACACCCCTGAGGTTTCTCCCATGCTCCCCTTTAAACTGTGGGTTTTCTCTGGAAGTGTTTCCTTGTACGATGTGAGGGTCTGAGGACAGAGAGTCTGAGGACAGAGGGTCTGAGGACAGAGGGTCTAAGGACAGAGGGTCTAAGGACAGAGGGTGTCGTATTGTCATACTGATATTCTGTACAAACTGTGAAGTCCACTGAGACAAATGTAACATGTGTGATATTGGGCTGTATAAATAAACATTGATTGATTGGTTGATTGATTGATTGATTGATTGATTGAAGTCAAATCCATATAGAATGAGCTATTTCTCCCCAAAGATAATCACTCAAATATGATATAAAATAGAGAAAAAGCACGCAATCTCCCTATTCTGAAGACTAAAACCAGCATTTTCTGCCATTTCTGCATCAAAAACTAGTTCAATTATTAATAAATTATCACAATAGCTGCTGATTAGTCAAGTAGTCGTTGCTACTCCACATAGAAACGCAGATTTGCAGACTCGAAATAGGGATGCACGGAGTGGAACACCATTTCTGAACTCTGGATATTCGCAGTGGATGTTTCCTGATCCAATCCTAAATGTTAAAACCTCACTGCTTGCTTTTTCCTTTTTAACATAAGTGAACATGAGGTTTGGAAATTGCAAAAGCGGACCACCCTGCCTGAATGAATGTACTTGAACATTTCCTAATGATGTTTGTTTAATAAATGCAGAATCAGTTTAGTGAGTGGATCTCAAATCCAGATATAAACACGTGTAAATTCCAGGTAAATGTTAAAAAGTCATTTCACATTTTCCCACAAAACCTGCCAAGTTATTTTTACCTCGGCTAGGAAAACCCATTACTTTCCAGAATACTTTTCAGCGCGCTCTGGAAAAAAGGCCTAAAATAGCTTATTTCTCTTAGTGATGTCACATCTGTGTAAACTTAGCTTCCTTTAGCTACAATATGCTAATACAGTATTCCTAGTACCAGACCAAATAAGGCTGTATGAGGAATAATAGTAACTAAGTATTACATCTACTAAAGTACTGTACGTGCATTTTCTCACTTTAATTCCAGCGTTTCTTTGACGTTTCTCAGAGAAAAAACTCAAAACTAGCTTTTAACTTCAGCCTCTCAGGTCTAAAAACATTTCTTTTTAACATGGCTTTTTAAATTTAAATGTTCGAACTGTTAAACACGGTTTTCTTTCTTTTAATTGTTTTGTGTGTTTTTGTATTTCTTCTCACTTTGACCATCGTAAAAACGTATTGTGTTTTATCTGTCTGATCCTGTAAAGCACTTTGAATTGCATCACTGTATGAAAATTGTGCAATACAAATAAATTGCCTATGACGTGTTTCGTTCCCCTCTGACCCAATCAGAGAGCTCTGGAGGAACATCTGGACTGAGGTGGACGTCATGTTTGACGATCCCAATATAGCAGCGAGAGTAAAGTGAGGAACAACGGCACACTCCCTCGTTCAGGGAAGCTAAATACGGCTGAGTGATAAGTAAATGTTACACCCACAGAATCTCAGGCCGCAGCGCAAACAGTGGAAACATGGAAAGAGAAAGAGAGTGTGGTATTCGAGGACGGTATTATATGATGTTAAAGCGCCAAACCAGCAATTAATGAGTAAAGTATAATCAGAGACAAGAAGCTTATCTAATGGGGAGGCGTGCTGTGAGCGTGCCTCATTACCACATTTCTCGGTAGCATTAGGTTTACAGCTAAGAGTGGGTTGTTTAGCTGCGATAAGATCAGGTGAGTGTGGGACAGACAGGTGAGTCTTCCTTCCTGCATGCGTGGTTTAACACATTTTACAGGAAGAACAAAATAGTGAAACAAACACCTGCTCATGTAAACAATACAACTGCTTTCCCCCACAGGACATAACCACACAATGCTCCAGAGGGAATCGACCTGAAGGAACTTAAACAGGGACGCTTTAGTTAAAATATAAGCTGTCAGTGGCGCTGGATGACTAACTGCTAGACGGTCTGTCCTCTGCCTACAGGAAGGAACTGAGTCATCGTCTCTGCTCTGAATACGGAGCAGGGCTAACCGCGTTATTCCACACAAGAAAATTAATGGGTTTGTGATTGAATCAGTCAGAGATGGACACGAGGGAACGGAAATTTTGTGCATGGCCGCTTAGTAACCAGACGGAAAAATAATCAAAATGCAGCTCTTGAAGTGTAAAACAAGAAAAGCGTGAAGTGTTTATTCATATTTTTTGGTATAAATTGCACTTTTCTTGACAGCTGAGCTAGAATTTATGATTTTCAATGGATATTTAGTCAAGAAAATGTAAAAAAAAAAATTGCCCAGGGTGACATCTTTTACTCCTTTTTGTGTCTGTGACAAGCCTAAAATTAATTTGTTTACTCACTTTTACTTATTTAGTTGTTTGTAATTGATGTTCCATTGATTAGGGGATTTATGTTTACACTTTAGCACTACTTAAGAGAAGAAAACACTCAAATGCAATCCTAAAAATAATCATATTTAGGGCGATTTGACATCTTGGGGTCAAGGAAATCTTCATATTTTTCTCATTATCGTTGCATCTTATTCTCTCTTGTGAGTTTATTCAGAGCTTTCTCCACAGGCTCCAGACTACCCTGAAGTCTGGAAGTCAAGGATACAAAACAAACAACACAGGCCTGTGTGTGTGTGTGTGTGCGTGTGTGTGTGTGTGTGTGTGTGAGGCCTGTGCTGTGAACTACGGATAATAGCAGAAGGGGGACAGTGGGTAGGAGTGTGAGAATTGCGTGGTGGCGTTCAGAGCCGGCAGTAACGTCGGGCTATAATTACATTTATTACATCACCGAGGCCTGGTGCGAGACCACTGCTAGAACGAACACACACACACACACACACACACAC